CATTTTTTCCACTATGTTTAAATTAGCCTTTCAATGGACGAGCAGCGCAAGAAGAGGACATAATAATTGTGGTTACTTGGTTGTTGTTGTTGGGTGTCATCATAATGACCCCATGTGATAGAAAATAACTACCCCATAGGTTTCCTGGTAGATCACCAGGTCTACCCTAGAGCCACTGATGGGTTCAAGCTGCCAACCTTTGATTAGCAGCCAAGTGCTTAAGCAAAACTCCCAGAATTCCTGGTGACTACCTGGAGCGTGGGCAAAAGTCTTCTTCAGAGAAGAGGGATCACAGAAAATGAACACAAAAGAGTGGAGACAGAAAACATGGGTACATAAGGAATAATTCATTCAATGGAAGAATACACCACTTACTGCCTAAAACCACATAATAACATAATATCAAGCAAGAAAGACATTCTACTTTTAAAGTGCCTTTTTTTTTTTTTTTTAAGTATCTTTTACATTCAAAAATATGATGCATTCAAATTGCAGTGTTGGCCAAGAATACTGAAAATACCATGGACTACCAGAAGACCAAACAAATCTGTATGGGAAGAAGTATAACCAGCATGCTACTTAGGAGGGATAATGGATAGAGTTCATCTCACCTACTTTGGTCATGCTGCAGAAAGGAACTAGTCCCTGACAAGGATATCACACTTGTTAAAAAAAAACAAAAAAAGGAAGACCCTCAGCCAGATGGATTGATACAGTGGCTAGGCTAGGAAAATGGGTACAAGCATAGCAAATACTGTAAATATGGCCCAGGTCTGGGCAGTGTTTCATTCTGTTGTACTTAGGGTTGCTGTGACTTACAGCCAACTTTGTGGCATCTAACAACAACAACAATCTGCTGTGCACTAGCCCACTTCGCTGACATGTGTCTGGGCTACATATTGGTGCTAGTTGCTGTTAGGTGCCACAAGTCGTTTCCAACTCACAGCACCCCTATGTACAACAGAATGAAACCCTGCCCGGTCCTGTGCCAGCCTCACAATCATTGCCAGCTTGAGCCCATCATCACAGCTATGTTAGGAGGGTATTTTTTGGTCCTGGGATCACAGGGAGACAGCAATGTGACTATACCACTTCCCGGTTCACTATGTGTCCCACGGTAGGTCATAGCTAAAGCACATGCAACTAGGCCATCTTCAAGAGACTTGTGATTTAAATGGCTCCTTTGAAATTCTTTCTGAGAAGTGTGTGTTGGTTCTGACTATGTTCTTTTTTTTCATTGAGCAAATTTGGCTGACTAGGGAGCTCTGGTAGCATAGTGGCTAAGACACTTGCCTGCTAACCAGACGGCTGGCGGTTCAAACCCACCAGCCACTCCTCGGAAGGAAGGTTGGGCAATCCTACTTCTGTAGTGATACTGCCTCGGAAACCCAAGGAGGGGTCGCTATGAGTCAGGGCTGACTCGACGGCACATAACAACAACAAGTGGATTCCTAAAGGAGCTCTGGTAGTGTAGTGCCTAAGGCATTTGACTGCTAACCAGAAGGCTGGCAGTTCAAACCCACCAGCCACTCCACAGAAGAAAGACTGGGGAATCTCCCTCCATAAAGATTTACCACCTCGGAAACCCAAAGGCAGTTGCTATGAGTCGGATTCGACTTGATGGCAGTGAATTTGCTTTCTGGTTTTTTGAGTGTATTCCTATTTGTATGGGAAATAATTGTATTATTGTAGAAAAAGGGGATAATGGCCCTAAATTTAAAGTATTGAATCTGAATTATAAAACTGTGGAATGCTCTGATTTTTCTTCTCTTATCCCCTTAATTATGAATATTCAAATTGTATCAAAGATATCTACCATTATTTTGCAATAATAGATTTTATCCTAAGATTTTTCATATTCTTAAAAATATCATCTTAATGATTTTATTCTAAAACATTAACATTGACAATAATATCTCCCTTCTAACCACTGGAAGCAAGTTCCATTTTCAATATATTCCAATACATTCTACTTAGGAAACACATCTTTTTTTTTAATTGTTATTATTATTTTTTTTAATGCTAGAAGTATGCATTCTTGACAGGAGCTCTGATAGCATAGTGCCTAAGGCACTTGACTGGTAACCAGAAGTCTGGCAGTTCAAACCCACCAGCCACTCCTCAGAAGGATGGTTGGACAATCTACTTCCATAGTGATACTGCCTCGGAAACCCAAGGAGGGGTCACTATGAGTTGGGTCTGACTCAATGGCACACAACAGCAGCAACAACAACATACATTCCAGACATAAAATATTTTCACAACTTCTTAGCTTGTTCATTTCTGCTTCAGTTTAATTCCTACCTAAGGAATTATCATATGTGATTCAGCATTGTTCTTTTGGTAAGTATGCTTGAGGCTTTTCAATATGCATTAATTAGATGAGTCATTTATTATCACATCATTATAATTTCTTTTGATAAGAATAATTTCCATTCCTATTTTTCTGAACTACCTCAATTATATACTCACAATGTTTGAAAGTTGAGGGATTTCTTTTCATGATGCCTAAGGCAGTCTTCACAAAGTCATTAAACAGCCAATCAGTTCAGTGAAAAATACAGTGTTTAGTGTTATATATTCAAAACAACAAAATTACTAATCCTTTCCATTGTTCAATGATTATTATTATTATTAATTTTTAGACTTCTGTTTCCTTTTATCTATCAAGATATTGTCTCTGAAATATTTGTTAAATTCTAGAGTACTTACAAGGGAGCCCTGTTAATGCAATGTTTAAATACTCAACTAATATGGAAAAAGTTGTAGATTCAAACTCACTCAGTGACTCAATGGTAGAAATGAGCTGGTGATCTGCTCCCATAAAGACTACAGCCCAGAAAACCCTATGCGTCAGTCCTATGCTGTCCCATGTGTTGCTATGAGTCAGAATGAGTTGGACAGCACCTAACAAGAACAACAACATCATACTTAAACCAGTTAGAAATGACTATAATTAAGTACACTTCTATAAATTGAACTACTGTCTAATATAATGTCTGTTTGATTGAAGTAATTGATGTCTTTCTTGAAGGTAGCATGATCCAAATCATTTCTATAAAAATTAAAAAGGCAGCTACTAATTGACGACCAGCATTTGGAAGTACAAATGTAAGATTTATAATGTGGCCCATCTGCACAATGAAAATCTTTGATATTATAGAATAGTTACTGTTTTGGTTACCTAATGCCTCTCAAATAGGAATATACCACACATGGGATGGCTTGAACAAACAGAAATTCATTTTTAGAGTTTTGGAGGCTGGAAGTCCAAATTCAAAATGCCAGGCTCTAGGGGCCAGGTGAAAACCCCTCAACAGTCGGCTTCAGCTTTGCCTCCTGCTTCTGGCCCCCTGAAGCTGGAGGCTTTTCTTCACTCAGG